ATAAAGCAATATTCACATAATTTAAATAAATGGTTAACGCCGTTAAAAATGTTCACCATGTATTGACAAATGTTTAACATATATTCACAATGTTTAAAACATGTATTTAAAAAACTTTCAACTTTGTAAAAAAATGTTTCGCATGCATACTAAAAATATACAGTGTGTATTGACTATTGAAGAGTAGACATATGTTGAAAAAGATAGTGAAGAAAAAAACCAAATGAAACACCGATAAAAAACACATAGAAACAACAATAAGGAAGGTTCTAAGGTCGGTACGAACCAGACTATAGGAATCTTCCTAAACCGCTACATGATCTACAGTGCAGGGCCGGCCCATAAAGTGAATTCGGGAAAATTCTTTACACAGGTTTGGACCAGTTTTAAGAACTTCAATGCGGTATTTTTTTAAATATTTTTCCTATGTTCCTTAATCCATTTTTATTTTACCAAATTTTTCTTTTACCTTACTTTCAAATAAATGTCAACTTTTCTCAATACACGTTGTACATTTTGTGCATACATGTGTAACATTTTTTGTTATGCGTTGAACATTTTTCAAATCCATGATGAATATTATTTTGAAATATATGTTTAAATGCTTCTTTACATAAAATGTTGAATATTCTCAAATACACGTTCAACATTTTTGTGAATGGTACGAAACATTTTATATATATTACCCCAAACATTGTTCACATTATTTGAATATTTTTTCTAAAAATGACACCAAATTTTTTTATGAATGTGAAATCTTTTTAAATGTCATGTACACTTTTCTAATGGTGTTAAACATCTTTTATACTTAAGTGAACATTTTTTCATTAAATGAACATTTGTAAAAATTTCATGAACAATGTTTTGAGACGCGTGTACATTTTTTTATATCATTCACGAGCTTGGTTTTTTAATGGCATTATGCACTTTTTTATTAAATTTATATGAGCTTTTATTTTAAGTTTATAAACATATTTAAAAATATCACAAACATTTTTTAAGACACACGAACCGTAAGAGGAAGAAAACAAATAAATCAAACAACAACAAAAATTCTTCAAATCAGTACAAACATTTCCTAAATTGCATGATCAAATTTTCACAATGTATTACATTTTTTTATGCATGGTGAATTTTTTGAAATTTTACATAAATTAAGTTCTGAAGTATATTAATTAGACTATTTTGAAATATAAAGAAAATAAGAAAGAATGGAAGTTAACCAATGAAGAAAATGAATGAAGAAAGATGTTGTTTGCAACTTTTAGCATCTTCTACTTTTTGACTTTTCTATTTAGAAATATGATGTTGGTTCTTAAGAAGATATTATTTATTAGATGTAACCATACTCACCAATACGAGTGCGGCGTTTCGGTGCCCAGACTCATCTGTACCCGGTCAAAAAAATCAAAACAAATAATAAAAAATTCGAAAAATTCCATTTTTTGTGTGGTAAATAATTTGATGCGTGAGGTTTGCTCCAATTTTTAGATCATTTGGACATGTGAGCAGCTCTCAGCAAAAACAACAAATCGGGTCAAAATAGTGCGTGAACACTAAACATTTTTGCAGACCCCGAATTTGTCTTTTTTTGCCGAGAGCTACTCGGATTTCCAAATAGTTGCGAAATTGGAGGGAACCTCGTGCATCAAATTATCTACCACGTAATTTTTTAATGGAATTTTTCTAGTATTTGTTTTGATTTTTTTTCGTCAGGGCAGGTGCAGCTGAGCCCGGGCTCAGAAGTGGATTACCGCACCAATACAAAGTTCTTTCATCCAAAAAATGTTTTTGTGTGCGCAACTAAGACCATTTTTCTGCTCTTTCATTGTAAAATCTTAGTCAGCAGAGCCGGCATGGGAGACAAGACACACAAGGTAAATTCCAAGTTGACGCTTTGCACTATCAATACAACATTGTATCAATCCGAGGAATTTCTCTGTTATTTGATTTATTTATTTTCTCCCTCTTACGATTTGCTGACGGGATTGTGGGTGCCTGCAAAACGACGACAAGCCAACAACTGAGTACATGGATTGAAGTATGAGGCTGCGAGAGATGTGGATTTCATGCCTTTGCTTGGATCAATTTTACATAATAACCCCTAATATGTTAGTTTAATAGCAGTTGACTGATCTTAATGTGAGGTGCTATTTTAGTTATAAATACCCTTTTCTGATGTACATGAATATGAATGACCCTTTCATGCCTTTGCTTGGATCAATTTTACATAATAACCCCTAATATGTTAGTTTAATAGCAGTTGACTGATCTTAATGTGAGGTGCTATTTTAGTTATAAATACCCTTTTCTGATGTACATGAATATGAATGACCCTTTCATGCCTTTGCTTGGATCAATTTTACATAATAACCCCTAAT